AGGGCCAGGGAAAGAGGGGCAAACTGCGAACAGGTAGCAGTGTGTGTTGTGAGTGTTCTGGCCGGAGAGGGGGCACTGGGCTAAATGTCAGGAGACTTGGATTCCAGTCTGAGCTCTGCAGTCAGCCTGCTCTGTTTCCCTGGGCCAGAGGCCTTCCCTCTTAGTACCCGCGTGCTCCTTCCTCAGCACGGGTGCTGCCTGTATGACCTCTGAGGCCGTCCTTGAGCTGGGTTTCTGAGTGGCATTTACTAGAGCCCCGCAGGAGTTACATGGCTGAAAAGAGCCCCAGGATGTTAAGCTTTCATGTCAGGGGTGGAGGGTGGTGGGGAGAGTATAGCTGAGTGGTAGAGCACATGCTTAGCATGCGTGAGGTCCTGGGTTCGATCCCCAGCACCCCCATGAAAATAAACAAACAAAACAAAAAACAAATAAACAAACCTGATTACCACCTCCCCCCCAGAAAACTTTCATGTCTAAACCAAAGGACATAATTATAGAATCATAGGATGAAGAAATCAGGTTTCAAAAGGCCTTTGAGATGATTTCTGCCAGTGGAACAGGAAAGGAAAAAAGCTCGATAGCTCAACAACATGCTTCAAGGGTGAGGGACACCTAAAAGCACTAAAAAAAAGTGCTTTTCAAGTGAGTGGTTTCTTTCGGTTTTGTCTGGGGGGGACTCCCTGGGATGATGGATTGTCTCAGATACTGTGACTGGCCTTGCAAGTAGGATGAGGCCAGACTCCTCTGGCTGCTGGGGCAGCAGACTCTAATCACAGAAAATAGATCCAGGCTGTTGGTGTCTTTCGGGCTAGATTTTTGAAAAAAAAAATTACATTACTGGAGTTCCAAATTTTGCTTTTAATTCCCTTCTTCTTCTCCTTATTATTTAAAAAACTTTCTTAATTCCAGATTTTGCTGGAAGTCTATGTAGCCCTGATTTAACTCTATCACAGAGACAAACAATTAAAATTGGGCCCCAGGTGGATGTCTGCTTCTCAGATGGAGGGGGCTCCCCGAACCATCTGGCCAAAACTGACAGGGAGGGACCGAGTCCTTCAGAGGAGTCCCCACCAGGACCTGAAGTGCATAGGACCAGCCAGACTGTGTCTGCTTCCAGTGTTTCTATTTCCCCCGTGGGGGTCCTGGCCACTAAACCATCCCAAATACACTCTCCTGACTCTAACTCCAGAATTCACCCAGGACTTCCCTACTCTGAAGGTCAAAAACATCTTCAATGTGGCTAACTTGACTGTGAGCCTTAAGAATTGTTCCTTGCCAGGTTTTGGAAGAGGGGAAAGAAAAGTTCTAGGTTGTACATGGTACCCAGCCTCCAAGATGGCCCCCAAATCAGTCCCCAATGATCTCCACCTCTTAGTATTCACGTACTTGTGTGGTCTCCTCCCACACGGTATCTGTGTCTGTGTGTGTGTGCACATGCGTGTGTGTGATGAGCAGCATATTGCAGAAGTCAGGAGGCCAGCTACCACGTAATGCGGTCACTCAGGCAGCCTAGAGCGAGCCCTACGTGATGATGAGGAACTAAAGTCTCCAGCAACAGCCGTGAAAATCAGAGGCCTGACAACAACCTTGTGAGTGAGCTTGAAGGTGGCTCCTCCCCCAAGTTGAGACTTCAGATGAGAGTGCAGCCCAGATCTGCAACCTGACACCAATCTCATGCTGGACCTTAAACCTGGACCCCCCCCCAGCTCAGCCCCTCCCAGATTCCTGACCCTCAGACACTGATATAATATGCGTTTGTTGTCTTAAGCTGTTAATTTGGAAGGTAATTCGGCACAGCAATAGATAACTCATGCACTCTGTGCTTTGTTTTTGATTTTTTGAGTAGAAGTAAGTGGTCAGGAAGACACACTATGTGGCACAAACACATATACGCTGTATGGAATGACAGATCAGTATCTGTCTAACTCCTGTGTTCCCCGAGGGTGGGGCGGGACCAAGGAATCAATGTGTTTAATTAGCACCCCAGAAAAATCTTATCATCAGGCAAGTCTGAGAAACAATGCAGAACAGGATTCAAAAATGAACAAGACCCATCCCTTTTTCAGAAAACTGTGCAAGATGAGAAGCAAATTGGTACACAGAAGTCTGTTTAAAGAGAGGTGCCCAGTGGTAAGGAAGGGTGTGAAAAGCATTGGGGGAATCAAGGAATGCTTCCTGGAAGAAATGACAAAGGTTGCTTAGGATCTCAGGGGGCAGTGTATGGAAAGAATCACAGAGTGCGAATAACCAGTGGCACTTTTCAGGTGCCTGCATTGTGCCAAGTGCTTCATCCGCCTCACCTTATCTAATCCTCACAACAACCTTACCCAGTAGGAGCCAGTGTCACCCGTTTTACAGATGGGAAAGATAGGCTGTGGTTAGCACACTGCCCAGGGTCACACAGCTCCTGTGTGCAGTGCTGGGTAGAGAGGAGGCAGCGGACTTAACCACTTTCTTTAATCACTCTCCTTAATCACTCTTACGTTCCACGCTCCAGAAGACGCGAGACTCGGAGATGTGAAAGGGTGGTGACATTTTTGCAAAAGGCAGGAATTTTGTGGCAATAACAGAAGAAGGTGTCCATGGAGGGATATGGACCAGAGGAAGACACTGCAGGAAGCGTGGGAAGCTGGAGAGATTTCCTAGCGCAAACTCAACTCATTCATTGAGTAAAGGAGGAAAGGGAGCCTTAGAAAGGTTATGTGACTTGCCTGACATTTGAGAGCGGCAAAGAGGAGTCAAGTCCAGATCGCTGGCAGCCCCCTTTCCATCGTGGACAACTGGAGGCCGAACTGATGCTTTGCTAAGGAGGGCTGGGCTCTTGAATAGCTTTTTTTTTTTTTTTAACAATTTTAAGTATACAATTCAGTGACATTAAGTGTATTCACAATGTTGTGCAGCCATTACTGCTATCCATTTCCCAAACTTTGTCATCACCCCAAACAGAAATTCTGTGTCTATTAAACAGTAACTCCCCATTCCTCCCCACTTCTATACTTTCTAACTCTGTGAATCTGCCTCCTGTAGGTACTTCATATACGTGGAGTCATGTGTTCGCTCTGTTGTGTCTGGCTTTTTTCACTTACCATGATGTTTTCAAGATTCACCCATTTTGTAGCCTGTATCAATTCTTTTTTTACCCCATTTCTTTCCCACTGTAGTAAAATACACATAAGACTTACCATCTTCACCATTTAAAAGTGTACAGCTAAGTGAATTCAAACTGTTAAAAAGCCATCACCACCATGCATCACCAGGACCCTTTTTATCTTGAGAAACTAAACCTTTGTACCCATTAGATAGGAACTCCCCTTCCTTTATGTCCCCCCTCGCTAGCCCCCTGCAACTACCATTCTATTTCCAGTTTCTATGATTTGGATGCCTCTGGGTACCACAAATAAATGGAATTATACAGTATTTGTCTTTTTGCAACTGGCGTATTTCACTTAGCATAATGTTTTTAAGGTTCATCCATAGTGAAACATCTGTGAGAATTTCCTTCCTTTTAAAGGCTGACAAATATTCCTTTGTATGTATCTACTACAGTTTATTTACCCATTCATCTATCGATAGACATTTGGATTGCTTCCACCTTTTGGCTGTTGTGGTAAATGCTGCTGTGAACATAGTTGTACATGTATCTCTTTGAAGCCCTGCTTTCAATTATTTTGGGACTATACCCAGAGGTGAAATTATCTGGATCAAATGTAAAAAAATTTTTTTTTAATTTTTTGAGGACTTGCCATACTGTTTTCCACAGCGGCTGCATCATTTTACCTTCCCACCAACCTTGACCTCTGTGTTAGAGGTTCAGAGAACTGCTTTCTGGAAAGCAAGGAAGTAGCGAGAGGGGGACAGTGTGGATGCCAGAGAGAGGGGGAGGACAAGGGTTCCAATTTCTCCACATCCTCTACAACACTTGTTATACTTCATTACTTTTCTAAAGGATGAGAAATGTTCTAATGTATGCAAATACCACGTTTTAAAAATCCATGCATCAGTTGATGAACATTTGGGCCGTTTCCACCTTTTGGGCTGTTGTCAGTATCTCTGCTATGTACATTGGTACACAAGGATCTGAGTCTCTGCGTTCGATTTTTTTGGAAGTGGAATTGCTGGATCAGAAAGTAATTTTATACTTAACTTCTTGAGAAATTTGTAGACTTTTGGAGGAGATGTGTGCTCTGTAAGTCATCTCTGGCCACCCTAGCTCTCTGAAAAGACATCCTTGCTGGTGGTGGTGGAGGGGGGCGCTCCTCCCTCTCTCTGGCATCCACACTGTCCCCCTCCCGCCACTTCCTTGCTTTCCAGAAAGCAGTTCTCCGAGCCTCTAACACAGAGGTCAGGCGGCCGAAACGGAGC